TGGTAATGATGGTGACAAGAATGTGCAGAGCAAGCATGGTGGTAAAAAGAAAGTTGAGAGAAAGAATGGTAAGAATAAGGTTGTGAAGAAAATAACCATTGAGTTGAAGAAGGAAATTGTAGAAAAGCATGAGCGTGGTATTCATGTGACTGGTCTGGCCTCGGAGTACAAGATGGCGAAGTCGACAATCTCCTGTATTTTGAAGAAGAAAGCTGCCATCAAAGAAGCTGATGTGGCAAAAGGAGTAACGAAGTTAACCAAGCAGAGGACGCAAGTGTTGGAAGAGGTGGAAAAACTTTTTGTTAGTGTGGTTGAATGAGAAACAGCTAACAGGTGATAGCGTTAGTGAAGCTATGATCTGTGAAAAAGCCAGGAAATTGCACAGTGATTTAATGCAAAAAATCCCTCTACAAGTGCAGCAAGTTTAGAATTTAAAGCCAGTAGAGGGTGGTTTGAAAAATTACGCAAGAGAAATGTGACAAGACATGGTGAGGCTTCCAGTTCTGACAAGGCCGCTGCAGAAGCCTACAAGAAAGAATTTTCATAATTCATGAAGGCAGGAGGATACGTCGCTCAGCAAATGTTAAACTGTGATGAAACAGGGCTCTTCTGGAAAAAGATGCCGAACAGAACCTATATCACGCAGGAGGAAAAGGCACTGCTGGGGCACAAACCCATGAAGGAGATCTCCCAAATGTCCTTATGGAGGGTGACTCTCCCTCCAAACAATAACTGCCTCACACCCGCCTTCCTGTTCTCCATGCCAGAAGTCATCTCAAGCAAGGTTAGTGTTCTCTCTCTTCATACTTTACTATATTTACTTTGTTTCATACTTCCACTACTCTCCACAATGCCATCCCTGTGTTGGCTCCTGCAAGAATCCTATTTAAATATTGTCAATCAAAAACAAATTTGTGCCCCATACATAAAAGTACCCTAAGGTACTAAGCAAGCATGCAATTGGCATGAAATATACATATATGATGCTAGGTCCACTTAAAGACACAAAAATATGTCCATATAGGTGTGGAACATATTATTTAATACAGGTTTACTTTAATGTTTAATAATGTTAGCCATGTCAGTAAAATGGAGGTAAAAGTTATTTAGTAGTAGTTAGTCGCATTCAACTGGACTTATTCTGTATATCTGAAGATATTTTCGTAGCATACCAACCCATTTCTTCAGTTCTGATGAGTGTTTGGAAAATATCCCAGCATTTATATCTACATAGGTAACTGCAAAGCTTTTATCTGTTCACCATGAAAAGGCATATCTTAATACTCAAGAACATGATAGAAGGTGTAAAACATTACGGAACCACCCTGTTCTATCTACACAGACCTATCCCTGGAGTCAGGAAGACTTTAGAGATCTTAATCCTTCAATTAATGACACCTTGGGGTTTATTTACTAACAACAAGGTGAAGCAGACCTCGCCCTGTTGAATGGAATAGCATCTACACATAGGCAAATGACTTTTGGTAAATGTGGAACTGACATAGTCGCGTTTACATAATAGGCATGCTAAACTTGGTCCAAAAAGGGCTTAAGAGCACATGATTAAGCCAAGATCGTGTGTGCGTGTGTGTGTGTGTGCCTGTGTGCGTGTGTGTGTGTGCCTGTGTGTGTGTGCGTGTGTGCCTGTGTGTGCGTGTGTGTGTGTGCATGTGTGTGTGCCTGTGTGGTGTGTGGGGGGTGGGGGGTGTGTGGTGTGCGTGAGATGCATGATAGGTCCCAGAAGACTACGGGGCCATTCACAAAAAGCAGCATTACTCGCGCATGTGCAGTGGGCACCTGGGTGTGAAGTCACAAGTTGTCACAGCTGGGTTCCCACACCGAAGATGCCGGGCACCAGGAAGAAAAGAAGGCAGGTGAAACCAGCCATGGTGAGGACACTGCTGGATTATAGGACAGGTGAGTGTCTGTATTTTATAAAGTCAGCAGCTACAGATGTTGTATCTGCTGACTGTTATTTTTTTTTTAATTCAACTGGAACTCCGCTTTAAGATATAGTGTAGTAAATATTGTAAGAAAATTTGCCGTCAATTTACGCAGCGCTTTATATATATATTGTACATTCACATCAGGCCCTGCCTTCAAGGAGCTTACAATCTAAAGTCCTGAACTTACATTCATATACTAGGGACCAGGGGCGGACTGACAACCCATGGGGCCCCCAGGCAATAGGGGATCATGGGGCCCCTGTGTCTTTGCCTAAACTCAAAAAAGCCTATGAAAAAGGTACCAGGGGCATCTCATGGGGCCCCCTACTGACCCCGGGCCATCGGGCAGTGCCCGAGTTTCCAAATGGTCAGTCCACCCCTGCTAGGGACAATTTAGACAGGAGCCAAAACAGCTTTCAGCATGAGTGTGGGAGGAAACCTTGATGCAGGTAGTGCCATAGTTAGGATTTGAACCACCAACCCTAGTACTGCTAGGCAGCAGTGGCAACAACAAAGCCACCGTGACTGCAATTGTGACTGTAGACTGCAATTATGTGGTGTGAACCAGTCCTATGTTCCTGGGCATGATAGGTGTAACAAGCAATATATATTTCAAATAAAATGCAAACGTGTCATAATATTATTCAAGAATCATAATATTATCCAACTCCCTCCGCAAAAAAAAAAAAATTCAGAGGGTGACACCACTATTTCAAAGTGACACACACAAGAGAAAAAATCCATAAAGCAGGGATTTACTGTTTCTACCTCCGCTCTGTCATGTACATTAAGCCATGCAATTTATCCTCGTACTTATGTGAGTAGATGCACAATATTTGATACACTAAATCTGCAGGTTGCACTATGGACACGAGACTGCCCTGACCGCCGGCCACGAGAATGCAAATCGTGGCAAAATGTAGCAGTTTAGGAGCTTTGGCAAAAAAATGTGCCATTGAAAAGCCTGTTGCTGTGATCTGCCATTATGGTTCCAAGGCTGGGGATGGATGATTACTGACAACATTCTGTTATAAGATCACCTATAACAGGCATCACTACATGGCGGACCGCGGTCCGGATCCACACCCACAAACACTCCTTTCTGGACCATAGTCTCACCAAATAGTTCCCTGAATGTCCTCTCCCTGCCTTCGGCTCCCCCGCCTGCTGCTATTATCCTCAAGGAAGGGCAGATCATTTGAGGTGCAGCAGGTCTGTCCCTTCCATAACATTGCAGAACTCCTCCCTCCCTATACTGTCCTACCTTATTCACACGAGACGGGAAGTACGGCAGGTCTGGACATAGGGTAGGACTTTTCATGTTAGGAAACGAGTGAACATGAAAAGTCCCGCTGTATGTCCAGACCTGCCGTACTTCCCGTCTCGTGTGAATAAGGTAGGACAGTGTGGGGAGGGGGGAGTGCTGCAATGTTATGGAAGGGACACGAATCTGTAATATGCAGGGAGGACTGTGATGGGGTGATCTGTGATAAGGGGGGTCTTTGATGGGGTGTCTGTGATTGGGGGGGTCTGTGATGAGGATTCTGTGATGGAGGGGATCTGTGATGAGAGGGGCCTGTAATGAAGGGAGTCTGTAAAGAGGGTATTTGTGATGAGGGGATCTGCGATGAGGGGATCTGTAATGAGGGGAGTCTGTAATGAGGGGGGTCTGTAATGATGGGAGTCTGTAATGAGGGGGGTCTGTGATGACTGGGGTCTGTGATGGGGGGGTCTGTGATTTGGGGGGGTCTGTGATGGGGGTCTGTGATTTGGGGGGTCTGTGATGGAGCAGTCGGTGATGGGGGGGTCTGTGATGGGGTGGTCTGTGATGGGGCGATCTCTGATGGGTCGGTGTGCGATGTAAAAGTGGGGGAATGGGGGTGGGGGGAGGAACTATGATGTGCACAAGAAACTGTGATGAGAAGGATCTGAGTCATAGCACCAACATGACACTTGGACCTCCGTTGGAAGAAAATTTTACTGACCGGACCTCTGTGAATTTTAATTCAGTACCCCTGACCTAAAAGTTTTGGTCTTATCGTTTGGTAAGAAGCTGCAATTGGTGTTGGTGTGGAATTCACAAGGCTGCTTATTGACATTCTGAAAATATATGGCAAGATTTGCAATGATGGTGGAACCCTCCTACACATAACTACTTATTTTGTTTGTACATTTACATATAGGTGGTGGACTTCAACCCAGACATATGTTTATTTATTTATGAATTAATATTTTGTCTTTGATGGTGTGCCACTGTGGAATAGTGGTGTGTGAACAGTTTTGGAGGTAAAGGTCCAATTAAGATATAGCACTTGGAAGGAATATCACATGGATTAGATATTTGGTGGCCACACAGTCCTTCTAAAAGTGCATTTGGTCTATTATAATTTCTAGGTCAAACTTCAAGGTGAGCAGGGAGTGGGGCTACACGGTTTTGGAAATTTTTGGATGATAGCACAACATTAAGACTTTATATATGTTGGATTGGATTATTACAACTTCCAATTTGAATTTTTGTGGACTGATATTGTGTGTTTTAAGGTTTATGTTTCACATTTGAGGAGTTAGCGCATCACACTTTTTCGTTTAACCTCCCTAGCAGTATGATTATTTCAGATTTTTGGTGCTGAAAGCGGTACCATTATTTTGCATGGAAATATGTATTTTTTTTATTGTAGGCCTGTAATATTTAGGAATAACTCACTGAAATCTGTCCGAACAAGAGTCTATTAAACATCCCGGGTATGATAAAATTTGAAACACAAAATCATAAATTATAATTTAATAAATAATAATATAATAATATTACATTTAATTCAATAATATAATCAAACCAAAAACACTGAAATTTGAAATATAGCGCCAAGTTCGCACATCACTGAGCAAAGTAGCAAAATTGTTTTCAGTATCTGATGACAAATTTCTCCACGAATCATTATCACTCAATTCTGCAAGTGGTTCTGATTTACTATCGCTGTTCTCTAGCCAATCTAAAACCGCTTTTGACCTAAAGAAACACTTTTTGGACGCCATGGACTTTTCTAAGTTTCCAGGCAGAAAGAACAGTCAAAATGCAGACGGGACAGGACAGAGCACTAGGGACAAAATGTATGTGAAATGGTTCGAAATAGCAATGTTTTACTATGTAAAATTAATTTTGAAAAAAATGACATTTTTTTAAAAATTTTCAAATTTCCCGCCGCTAGTGGCGCCCGTACATTCCGACATCACAGGGACCTGAACACAGAAGCCGGATGCCGGCATCAGCCGGAGGAGATGGCCGGGGACGCTGCAGGGGACACATCGCGGGAGCGAAGGACAAGGTAAGTGCTGGAGGAACTCCCTATGCAGCGCCGCATGGTAAGCCCGAGTATAGCTCGGGGTTACCGCTTTTGGTTCAGAAACTTTACCCCGAGCTACACTCGGGAATACCGCCAGGGAGGTTAACCGGTTCCCGCCTGGCCTATGGCCCGATGGCGGCCGGGCGAGCACCTCGTCCCTCCAGGTGGATGCCATAAGGCGTCCTTCCAGGCATGCGCAGTTTGCATGCCTGCAGAGCCACGCGATATGTCACCGGCTGTGTACCTCGGACACGGCTGATGACAGATCTGTGTACCCGTTGCCAGTACCATGTGACCTGCTGTGACCAATCACAGCAGGTCACATGACAGTTGTATACAATGGATGGCTTCCTTTCATGCCATCCATTGTATACAAGTGTGGCTAGCTGTGAATGGTCACAGCGATCACATGCACAAGCTGAGCCAATCACATTCCAGTTGTGTCATGTGATTAGCTGTGGCCAAATCACAGCTAAGCACAAAAAAAAAAACCCTGAATGAATCGATTTCATTCAGGTAAATGCTTGCTTAATTGTGTAAAAAATGGTTGTAAAAAAAATACATACTGATTACTTCCCCAAAGTAGTACAATGTTACTATGGTAACATTATACTACTTTGGTCATAGTGAAATATGAAAAAAAATCTTAAAAAAAGAGAAAAAAAAAATGTAATAAAAATAATAAAAAAAAACCCAAAATTATAATTTTTTTTTTTTTCGTACTGTCACCAGTCAGTGTCCTTGATCACCGCCATGCCAGTTATATGATGACGCTGTACTAGACTGGTGACAGTATGTAAAAAAAAATAGTGAAAATCATTTTTTTTATTTCTTCATTTCTGAAAAATTATGACAACTTCAAAAAACTCGCCATTCCTCTTATGAAATACGTCGGACTGTCTACTTTGCAAAAAGGAGTCATTTGAGGGATATCTGTACTGTTCTCACATTCTTGGACCTCAAAAAATTTGATTGGCCGTCAGTACGTCAGGATTGATCAATATTCAGATCTATACCATAGTTTGTTAACTCTACAACTTTCCTACAGACTAAATAATGAATACTAACTTGGGTTACTTTCACCAAAGACATGTAGTAGAATACATTTTGGCCTAAGTTTATGAAGAACAATTATTTATTTGCAAACCTTTATAACAGAAACAAAGAAAATGTGTGTTTTTTTTTTTTAATTTTCGGTCTTTTTTTATTAATTTAGCAAAAAATAAAAACCCCAGCAGTGATTAAATACCACCAAAATAAAGCTCTAATTGTGTGAAGAAAATGATAAAATTTTAGTTTGGGTACAATGTTGTATGACCACGCAATTGTCATTCAAAGTGTGAGAGCGCTGAAACCTGAAAATTGGCCTGGGCAGGAAGGTGTAAAATTGCCCGGTATGGAAATGGTAATGAAGTACATACATCTGCAGAGAATATATGCTCCAAAAAAAAAAAAAAAAAACTAGCATTATTTAAAAAATGAGAAAAAAATGAATATTGTATAAGAAGCAGAAAAACACAGCTAAATAAAATTACAAAGGAAGTGAAACAGTTCTTAGAATAATAAAAATATCTGTTGGTGTATCTGTGCATAGTAACAGTTCTATAGTTACAAGTATTGATGTATACCGTTTTTTATATATTTTATATATATATATATATATTTTGCCCATTTAATAATCACACTTTCACAAAAACAGGTTCACTCTTTTCAACGACATTTTCCAGGTTTGACAACAATGACATTTACTATAGCACTTCACAAACAACAACAAAGTGAAGGCACTCTTTAGTTTTCCTTGTGTGGGCATGCTCAGTCGTGTCACTACTGAGATGTTTGAACTAGGTGAAGTCAATGCCTGTTTGGATTTTTTGAACTATATCACTTTACACAGACAAATGTAAAGTTCTTTTAAAGCAGTTATTCTTTAACCACTTTCTGTCCAGACACTTTTACCCCCTTCCTGTCCAGGGCAATTTTCAGCTTTCAGTGCTATCACACTTTGAATGACAATTGCGTGGTCATGCAACACTGTACCCATATGAATTTTTTACCATTTTTTTTGAGACAGATAAAGCTTTATTTTGGTGGTATTTATTCACCGCTGGGATTTTTATTTTTTTTGCTATGTAAATGAAAAAGTCCAAAAATTTTGAAAAAAAGAGTTTTTCTTATAAAATTTTGCAAATAAATAATCTTTCATCATAAATCTTGACCAAAATGTATTCCGTTATATTTTTAGTAAAAAAAAAAATAAGCCAAAACTAGTTTATAACCTTTTTTTTACATTTTTATTTTATTTTTTTTATATTATTATTTATGGGGTTTTTTTTTTTACATACTGTCACCCTAGCAGTACAGTGTCACCATGATGACACTGTACTACTTGTGGGGGGTGATGAAGATTTTTTTTTTTTTGTTACAGTGATTGCTTTTACACCCATATAGGATGTAAAAGCAATCATTTCTCTTTCTCTCTGTCTGCATTCTTGCAGCCACTGAGAAATACTGAGTGAGCTGTGATTGGTCACATCTTGTCACATAGTACAAGGCTGTTGTGAATAGCCTTGTACCATGTGACCTCTGTGATCATTCACAGATTTCACACGTAGTAAGCAATGATGTCACAAGTGACATCTTGCTTACTACTGTGCATGTGATCACTGATTGGCCAATCAGTGATCACATGATCGGGACCTCGTACAGAGGTCCCGTCCGACAATCAGTGTTTCACTGTGTCCGGAGGACACAGCTGGCACCGGATAGCGGGGCTGCGCGCTCCCAGGGAGCGCGCACAGCTAGAAAAGGCGGGTGCCGTTTATGAACGGCAACCCGCCCCTGGAGTGCCACCGCCCTGCCGTTTATAAATAGCAGGCGGACGGCAAGTGGTTAAAATGTTCAACATATGTATAGAAGTATAAATTGCTTGAAATCATGTGATTAAAAAGATTTTTCTCTGGTGTTCACCTGCTCCTAGGAGGTGAACTCATTTAGACAGTCGCCAAGTTTTGTGACCATTAGTAAATTCTGAATTGTGTCTGTTTGTTGACTGAGTGCCTTAGTAAATCTCTTCTCCACCTAAAAGTAGTCATTCAGGCAAGGAGCTGCAACCATTTGCCAACAAGGTGCTTTAGTGAATCAATCCCCTTCTCTCTTCCGCATATAATTCCATTTTAATGTCTCTACCTCGGTGTTTTGACAAATCATACCATCAACCATGTAAATCAAAGAATTCAAATCTATAAAGCTATTTTGACACCAAGGATAGGATTGTGTAACTAGTATGGGGTGATTCCGCAATTTCTACACCTCCCATCCAGCTCTTAGACCATAACGTCTGCCTCTCCATGGTGATTTGATCAAGGTGTTGATGATACCTGCATTGATATAAATGTTGGGGAATTGTCCTGACACCCAGTAGAACTGAAGAAACATCTTCAACATTACAGAACAAGTCCAGTTGACAGTGATTCAATGACCTGGATAAACCTTCACAGACATACAGGGTACATTTTGTAGCAAGTACACCTTCAGTGAGACCCTAATTGAACAATCTTTTTCCCACACTCAGTACATCAGTCAGCATGGTTTATAAAGTAGATACAAGAAGCCTTTAAGGTCACAAGTATGCAGTAATGTGTGAGGCGCATGTGGTCAGGATATGTGTGTTATTAATCAAGATGGAATGTCACGAGGCCCTGATTCACATTTTGCATTGAACTAAAAGAACCAAGAGGCTTCCAAAACATATGAAGTAAACATTTACAATTATGCATTACTATGCTACCAACAAATTATGCAGTGCTTCACAGAATTCATAGACTATTCAATTCAGTCCCAGCCTTTGAAGTATCTTACAATTTATTGCTTCCATTGAGGATGATCATACACCATCTAGGGCTGAGTGAAGTGAAGTCAATCAACCTAAAATATGTTTTTTGGCTGTGGAAAGACAACAGAGTGTCCAGAGTAAAACAACAATGTCAGTAGAACCCTTCATAGGAAACGACCCCCTGACTAGTTATGTAATGTGAATGTGCTGAAAATAAACATTAGGGAGCTTTCAAAAAGGCAATCTAAACAGGTCTGTCTGTCAGATTTTCAGCTGGAGCTTTTGGGAAGCTCTATGGACAGATAGGTGTATACAGACTTGTGTCCATTTACACCAGTCTACCTCTGAGTCCATCCAAGTCCAGAAAAAAAAAACTGAAAAGGACTGCATCCAGACCTATATGTGACAGATAAGAGGTAGCCTTATGTAAACAGACATAAGTCCGTTTACATCTAGCTGCCCATAGATCCATCACGGGTCCGCTGTGTCCACTGCTTAGAATGTCAAAAAAGTGACATCTGACCCATTCAGCTCCAATTCAGGAGGAGATCTGCTCAGGGACCCTCTGCTGGATAGAGCAGAGAGGTTCAATGACTAGGAGTCATAACAAACTTTACTGTAATTGTCTCTTGTTTATGGCTCTTATGAAGTGTGGCAATCCAGGGGACATCCAGTCTAAGAGTTGAAGGGTAGGGAGTGGGAGACCTGGGAAGCAAGGTGACCAGTGTGGCGGGCAATTGGGAAATAAAAGTGGAAGTAAAGAAAAGTAAAGGCAAGAAAAAAAAAGATAGTGAAGGGGGTGTAGAAAGAAGGATAGAGGGAATAAATGAAGGTGGATAGGGAGAGGGAAAAAGGCAAAGGGGAAGAGGTGGGGAAGCTTACCATGGTTAGGCCTGAATCACTTATACCAAAAAAAGAAGAAAATTGTAAAGAGACAGTGGTCTAAATCTATTAATAAGTAGTATGTGATCCATGGACCCCATACTTTGTGAAATTTAGGCAGCTGGTTGTGTAGGGTAGCAGCCATTTTTTTTTCAATGGTCATACAATGGTTAATATGAGCTTTGGGTTCCTCAAAAGGAATGGTTTGCTTTTTACCAAGACCAGGTGAATGTCTGCTTTGCGGCAGTAAAGATATGGGTGAGTAAACCAAATTCCAGTTTGGTACAATCAGCATTTTTTTTTCTGCCCTCCTTCAGTGGGGGTTTATTTAGGAGGATAAAGTATAGCTGGTGAGTATGAGACCAAAAAAGGGCTTCCTTTTTTGGACAGTCCCACCAAATGTGAACTTGCCCTGAGCACTGCTTCCTCTAAAGCACAGTAAGGGAGATCTGATCTTTCTATTTTAGGACCACTTAAACAATCTTTATGCTTTTAGCCATAAGGTCTTAGAAAGCCTCTATACAACAACGAAACAATTTGTAGGGGATGCCCACAACTCAGCTTCCAGCTCTATGCATACTTTTAAAAAATATGTGAGCCATTCACTAAAGCAGGAAATTACATTTCTGAGGGAACATTGTTTTCAAATGGTTCCCAATCCACCACAGTGTGCCTAATTGCAAGAAATCAGTGTTTTACATTTTTGGCAGCTTTAGAAAATTAGAGCAGTTCCAGACTGAAATGAAAGAGTAATTTTAATGACTTTAAACTACAAAAAGACCTGTGCAACAATTATCTATATTATATACAGTATGTTATTTTGGCGAAAGCAGAGTTTTCCTTTAAATACTGGCAAAAGCCACTAGTTACTGAGAATGGCCTTCACTGTCCCGGATAATATGAAAATTCCCTGCTGTAGCTTCAAGATCAAGCACCTAGAGAAATTTCTGTACTGTTCTAAGTCACATATAAATATTTTGATATACAATCTTAAAGTAAGCTTTGACACATTCCATGCATTAAAATCTGACTTAAAAGGTCCCAACAGGATTTGTTTAATACAGTGATTTCCATTACATACACATATTACTATTATTATTTTTATTATTATGTCTGGCGCTGTCTCGCTTGACCTACTTAGAGGTCATCAAACCCTTACCACTTAGAAGCTGCTTTTCATTTGTCCATAGCTGTCTAAAAGGAAAAAAAAAAAATGTCTTGGAATGACATAAACCATGTCAGGGCAGCAATCATTTATCTGGGTTCTGCAATCACCGTCTGATTACTGCAGTCGTTTGGACAGTTTTGCATTTTATGTTGAAGATTTAGTACAGGGGATCAAGACACGGATACTGCCTGTGCTACACCGAGGGAACTAAACTTTATTGTAACTCTAGGGCTGGAAATATGAGTGACAGCCAGCTTCGGCAGCCAGGGTTCACTCTGGAATAATTACCAGAGACCTGACTACATTTTTATGTTAACTATATATTTTTCATTAATGTAGGAACTGCTATAAACATAGGCATATGACCAATATTTAAAATATGTGAAGAGTTTATTAGATTTTATATTGCTTTTAAACCAACTACAAAGAATTTACTCCAAGTCTTTCTTTTAGAACTTCGTGCAAAAATATTTTATGGGATCATTGTTAAATATGCCAATTATCTCAGTCAGGGTATCCAATACAATGTAGAGCTAAAAGCATGTGGTCAAGAAAACCAGCAGTGAAACATATTTCCCCAACAACTAGTTTCCTTTCCAGCGAAAATCCAGTTCATCCTTCAGTCCACTTGAGTCACGAATAGTTTAAATGCAGTGAAAGCAATACAGGCTAGTGGGAGCACCAAAACTAGGAGCCTCTGGGTCACAAATGCATAACACACTGTTCTCCATGTTATCCAACATATAACATGCTGTTGCAACATACTGTTGCAGGTAAAAGAGTTACCTGCACCAGTATTTCAGCTGAATCATCTGTGTGGCTGGGGTCCCACTTTAATACAGGAGAACAAATGGCTACTAGCCAAATTGTTCCAAACTGGCAAACAGATATATTACTTGAAAATGGTGTCCCAAAGTTATGTTTTGTGAATGTTCATATCCCATAGGCAGTCTGTTCCCAGTCTTATGAAGGTTGAAGGTTTTGAATGATTGCTATACTGTATCCATAGCTCCCCCCCTCCCTTGATTGTTAAAGTGCCTCCCTGGGTTACTAGGAGGAAGCCTATACACATCCCAATTTGTGTCCACTAAATGACCAGACCTCCCAAAAGCTATAACTGAACTTAAAGTGCAGCATGCTTACATAGGCATTCAGTTTTAATTTATTTTTTTTTATTTTTCTTTACGTGTATGTCACTTTGCTATATTTGTGTTTTTTCACTGTAGGGTGTGGGTGACTACCCTGAAATCTAGGGGGAGGTTGTGTGGCCATTAGGTTCCTTCCTCTCTGCCTCTGGAGGATCTCTCTACTGGAGAGCCTCTCACCTTGTACTCATTGATTGGTTTTGGCTAATCATGAGGAGAGGGGTCCAGAGGATTTTTTGGCTAGGCTTACCCCTGTCAAGAGTCTGGCACCCCAGGGGGGTCAGGGTAGGGTCCTTCCTCTTTGGGAGAGGACCATATGACACACCCTAGTGCACTTTTTGTGTGTGTTCACATGCACTTTTTTGGTACACTTTGTTGTTTTGTGTTTGTGTGGTGCACGATCGGTTTCAAAAGGAAAAAAAAAAAATGGTGACCTGGGTCTGTACATAATTTCTTATACGTCTGGGACACTCAAGCCTCTGAATCAAGGTTCTGTCCATCTGGGAGTCCCCACCTACTTGCACCTACTTGTGCGTGTTCCATATAAAATAAATAGAAGTTAAAAAAAAAAGGAAGCGTAACACCCACTTATAATTGTCACAGAGGGTGTGCATTATTTAAAAAATCAAAGGCATAAATCTTAGGTATACAGTCTGAGAGCAATGTAAGAAATGGTGAGGTGGTTTAACTATCTAGCATACGCCAAAAACTGAAATTTTAATTTTGGGCGTGCTAACCCTGTATTTTACCGTCCATGATTTTAATCTGCACAAAAGACAATGAAACCAATGGTGCAGTAACCCAAAGTAACATTATGGCTAGAGATGAGCGAATTATTCAAAAATTTGATTCGGCTGATTCGCCGAATTCGCAGAATAAATTCGATTCGAGGCGAATATATTATATTAGTGCAGAACACTGTACCTTTAATTTTAAATGCCCTTGGAGTCTGCTGGGGAAGAGAAATAAATACTGTCAGTCAGTATGACATGCAGATGAGTGCCGTCGATCTTAGAATCACCGCACACTTCACTCATTTGGGCAGTCACGGGGCCAAAACCAGAGTGTGGAGCCACAGTGTGGCGGTGGAGGCAGCAGCAATGGGAGGCCATACAGCACCCTATATGACAAAATGGAACCCACCAGCAGTGTGAGGAGACCTGAAAGTGGCACATGGCAGAGTGTGGCGATGGAGACAGCAGCAATGGGAGGCCGTACAGGGGACCCATGACACACTCTGGACCTGGCAGCAGCATGAGGAGGCGGTACAAAGGGGCCCATGAAGCAGATTACGGGCCTGGCAGCAGCATGAGGAGTCGGTACAGGGGCCCATGGCAGAATTACGGGCCTGGCAGCAGCATGAGGAGGCGGTACAGGGGCCCCATGGCAGAGTGGCGGAGCGTAAGCAGCTAAAATTGAAGGCCATACAGGGGCCTATGTTAAAAAGTCCCCCCAGCAGCAGCGTGGGGAGACGACTATCAAGAGTCCAATGGCAGAGTGGCGGAGCAGAAGCAGCTTCAATTGAAGGCCATACACAGGCCTAGGTTAAAAAGCGGAAGCCGTCAGCAGCGTAAGTAGACGACAGAGACACATGGCGCAGGGTGGCGGTGGATGCAGCAGTATTCGGAAGCCAAACACAGGCCTCGGTTAAAAAGCGGAATGAAGCCGACCAGTCAGCAGCGAGTGAGCAGACGACAGAGACACATGGCGCAGGGTGGCGGTGGAGGCAGCAGCAATGGGAAGGCCATACAGCACCCTATCACAAAATGGAACCCACCAACAGTGTAAGGAGACCTGAAAGTGGCACATGGCGCTAGGTGGCGGGTGGGCGGTGGAGGCAGCAGTATTCGGAAGCCAAACACAGGCCTCGGTTTAAAAAGCGGAAGCCGTCAGCAGCGTGAGCAGACGACAGAGGCACATGGCGCAGGTGGCGGTGGAGGGCAGCAGCAATGGAAGGCCATACAGCACCCTATCACAAAATGGAACCCACCACACAGTGTAAGGAGATCTGAAAGTGGCACATGGCGCAGGAGGGTGGCGGTGGAGGCAGCAGTATTCGGAAGCCAAACACAGGCCTCGGGTTAAAAAGCGGAAGCCGTCAGCAGCGTGAGCAGACGACAGAGACACATGGCGCAGGGTGGCGGTGGATGCAGCAGTATTCGGAAGCCAAACACAGGCCTCGGTTAAAAAGCGGAAGCCGTCAGCACTGTGAGCAGACGACAGAGACACATGGCGCAGGGTGGCGGTGGATGCAGCAGTATTCGGAAGCCAAACACAGTGCCTCGGTTAAAAAGCGGAAAAGCCGTCAGCAGCGTGAGCAGACGACAGAGGCACATGGCGCAGCAGGGTGGCGGTGGAGGCAGCAGCAATGGAAGGCCATACAGCACCCTATCACCAAAATGGAACCCACCAACAGTGTAAGGAGACCTGAAAGTGGCACATGGCGCCAGGGGGGCGGTGGAGGACAGCAGTATTCGGAAGCCAAACACAGGCCTTGGTTAAAAAGCGGAAGCCGTCAGCAGCGTGAGCAGACGACAGAGACACATGGCGCAGGGTGGCGGTGGATGCAGCAGTATTCGGAAGCCAAACACAGGACTCGGTTAAAAAGCGGAAGCCGTCAGCAGCTGTGAGCAGACGACAGAGACACATGGCGCAGGGTGGCGGTGGATGCAGCAGTATTCGGAAGCCAAACACAGGCCTCGGTTAAAAAGCGGAAGCCGTCAGCAGCGTGAGCAGACGACAGAGGCACATGGCGCAGGGTGGCGGTGGAGGCAGCAGCATTGGAAGGCCATACAGCACCCTATCACAAAATGGAAACCCCACCAACAGTGTAAGGTGCCCTGAACAGTGGCACATGGCGCAGGGTGGCGGTGGAGGCAGCAGTATTCGGAAGCCAAACACAGGCCTTGGTTAAAAAGCGGAAGCCGTCAGCAGCGTGAGCAGACGACAGAGGCACATGGCGCAGGGTTGGCGGTGGATGGAGCAGCAATGGAAGGCCATACAGCACCCTATCAACACAAAATGGAACCCACCAACAGTGTCTGGAGACCTGAAACAGTGGCACATGGCGCAGGGTGGCGGTGGATGCGAGCAGTATTCGGAAGCCAAACACAGACAGGCCTCGGTTAAAAAAAAGCGGAAGCCGTCAGCAGCGTGAGCAGACGACAGAGGCACAGGGTGGCGCAGGGTGGCGGTGGAGGGTGGGGGGGGGGGGGGGGGGGGGCAGCAGCAATGGAAGGCCATACAGCACCCTATCACAAAATGGAACCCACCAACAGTGTAAGGAGACCTGAAAGTGGCACATGGAGCAGGTGTATTGGCAGTGGATAAGGCAGCAGTATTCGGAAGCCAAAACACAGGCCTAGGTTTAAAAAGCGGAAGCTGTCAGCAGCGGTGAGAGCAGACGACAGAGACACATGGCGCAGGTGGCGGTGGATGCAGCAGTATTCGGAAGCTCATACACCAGGCCTAGGTTTAAAACTGGGAACCCAGCAGGCGTGAGCAGACGACCAAAGACGCACATGGCAGAGGATGGATCTGGCAGCAGTATGAGAAGGCGGTACAGGGGCCCGTGGCACAGTGTGGTGATGGGGGGGGGTACAGCAACTGGATGCCAGAAAGTGGCCGATAGGGCTATATAATGCATGGAATTATAAAGTTTGTAAAGACAGCAGGCCGAGGGCCTATTTGTCCCTAATAATATGTTTGGGGCATGATTCATGGCGGATTTTAAGTCAGTTGTGTCAGGAACTGGTGGTTTGAAATCCAGGGACTAATCCACACGCCTGATTCATTTTCACAAACGTGAGTTCTCTCCACACTTTGGGTGGTGGACAGTCGTGTCCTCCCGCGGAGTTACAATACCTCCTGCCGCACTAAATACGCGCTCCGATGCCACGCTACTGGCCGGGCATGACAGCCTTTCAAGGGCAAATTCAGCTAGTTGGGGCCAAAGGTTCCAAGTTTTTCGTTGCCCAGTAGTCAAGGGGATTGTCTACCTCGGTTCTGGCAGGGTGCTGTCCAAGTAGGCCCAAGCTTGTTGTTTGAGGTCCTGCTCCAGGTTTACCTGATGCTGCTGCTGCTGCGGCTGGTTAGTAGTTTTCCTCACTGCGCTGGTGAAGAAAGCTACTCATCATCCAATCGACTGCAGACTGAGGCAGCCGCTGCTGGTGGAGCTGCCACTGCTCCTACCCTACCCCACCCCCTCCCCTGCTGCCATGGCAGCGGAACGCGAGCGCACAGGGCCCCCACAGTGTGTCTGAGGATGGACGTTGGGCACAAAGGCAGAGACCAACTGACTACATAGGTGGTTTTTATAGTACTTTATTTTGGCCTCCCTCTCAGCAGGTGTGAAAAAGGCCACCATTTTTGAACGGTAGCGAGCGAGGGGGGTCCAACAAGGTGGACAGCCAAAAGTCATCCCTCTGTCTGATGGTTATTATTCGGCTGTCGCTAACGCAAATGCAATCCGAGCATGCTAGGGCCATTTGTGCCAAGGAAGCGAAGGACTCCCTGCCTCCATCTTCCACAGCATACTGCCACCGGTGGCGTCTGGGTCCTCTGTCTCCTCCTCCTCCTCTACCAGATGCTCCTGCTCCTCCACTCCTGTCCGCGCTGAGTGGAAAAAACCACCCATTTCACTCAATAATTCCTGAGCACCAATGTCCTCACTCTACCTCCTCCTCTTCTTCCTGTCCTGCCCCCACAGGGTCATGTGGCGTTGAGATCTGTGCGCCACGTCTACCGCCCCCTGACCAGCCATTGTTAAACAGCATTTTGTTTCCAGGGACGTGCAACAGAGGAATGACGTCGTTCATCCATCCCCCTTAGTCCTGCCGACTCACGAATAGCGTGGCCTCCTCAAAGGGCCTGAGCAAGCGGCAGGTGTCACGCATGAGCTGCCAATGGCTGACATCTAAGTTACACAGGGGTGGAGTACCTTTATCCGCTTGTAAGATCAGGAAATCGGTGATGGCCTTTCGCTGTTCGTAAAGGCGGTCTAACATATGTAGGGTTTGAAATTCCACCTTGTTGCAACGTCGCAAGATCAGGCGAACGATGCTGTGGAATTCTGTTCTGCCGCTGCAGCTCAAGGAGGGTGTGCTTTGCGGGGTGTGTAGGAATGGCTGAAATGCATGCAAAGTTTACGTGACATTTTAAGGATGTCTTGCAGTGGGATGGTTGATTTTAGGAACCTCCGCCAGCTTGACAACCAGATTGAACACGAGAGCCAATGCATGGCGCATGGCACAACCTTCCTTGACGCAGAGCAGGACACCATGTTCTTTCCGTTGTCGGTCAACATGGTTCCGATTTTCAGTTTGCGCGGAGACAGCCATCTGTCGATTTCTCTGTTCATTACACTCAGAAGTTCCACTCCTGTGTGACTACGTTCGCCAAGGCATTACCAGGTGGCAGCACAGCGTGACACCGTTGCCAAACCCTGCACATGTGATATGCCGGTCGGGTAATGGGACTTGGCACGGGGGGGCTGGGTGGCTGAGGACACGGCGGAAGAAGAGGTGGTAGAGGCGGAACATCTTTGCTGGACCAAGGACGTGCAAACGTGGAGGCAAAAGCGGCGTGACCTGTCCCAAGTTGCTGGTGCGGCTGTGCCGGCACCACGTTCACCCAGTGGGCCGTAAATGACATGTACTGTCCCTGGCCCGTAGTTACAGCTCCACACGTCGGCGCTGGCCGTGCACTTTGGCAGAGACCGACATGCTCAAAGACTGGCCCACCATCTCTTCTACATGTGAAAATGCAGGGCTGGCACTGCCTTTTTGGCGAGAAAATGCCGGCTTGGCCCACTCTCCACCGCGGCTCGGCACAAGCCATCATTTCTTGGAAAGGTGCTGAGTCCACCACTTGGAAAGGGAGGGACTGCAGCACCAGCAACTTGGACAGGAGGGACGTTCAGCTTCTGCACCGTCGGGTGCGTGCTCGCAAACTGTTGTCTCTTGGAAACGGATTCCAAGAAAGACTGCTGACAGAATCCGTGAAGAGGAGTAGCAGGAGAAGGAGCATCTGAACGAGCGGAAGATGCCAACGAGCGACAACTCCCCTCAGCAGAGGTGTGTTGGAGCCTTGACTGGCTGATAGAGGGCGATTGACGTCGGGTGACGGAGCAAGTAACGGAGCGGGTGATGGAGCGGGGGCTGGGGCAGGCAGAACCGCCGTATCTTTATCACGGTTTTCCCAGGCCACCGAATGGCGACGCTGCATATGCCTGACGCAACGCTGTAGTCCCAACATGGGCCCCCTGGCCACGCTTGACTTTCTGGCCACATAGTCGACATACGGCTATGTTTACTTCCTCGGCGGCTTGACGAAAAATTGCCACACCAACCGAGTAGGAAACTTTGCCCCCGCCGCTACTCCTCACTGGCTGACTGCTACTTCCTCCGTGCACACCGGCACCACTACTGGCCGTGGTGGTAGGCTGCAGTGGAGCTGGTGCTCTACTCCGTGGCCGTTTGCCTCCACTGACACTGCTGCGACCCTGCTGCCTCCTGGGCAACCCCACCGACTGTTTTGCCTGCTCGGCTGGCAAGCTCTGGCACCCTCTTCTCCTGATGATGCGGAAGCCAATAGCCTGATGAAATTACGACGAGGCTGCCAAGTGCGATCAGCCTCATCATCATCAATTAGGGTCTCCGCCTCACTACTAGCCCCCTCGGCTGCGTGTGGGTCAGTAGACAGACCTGTCTCTAGACCGGCTACCGAGCCACTCTCCTCGCCAGTACTACTCTTCGCCTGGCTGCTGAAGAGGCGGATGTCTCCCCCCGTTCCTGACCGCCCTCTGTTAGCTCTTCCTCACTGTACAGTGGGCTGAGCCACACAGCATGCGATACTTCGCTTGGTGAGGGAACAGCAAAGGACCAGGGGGCAGGTCGAGGACACGTGATTTCAGTGGGCTTGCTCCCGGGCCATGCCAACTAACGGTTGTGTCTGACGTACCCACCGACCGTTGGCTGTAGTGTCAGAGGTGACCTGGGAAGAGAAGGACGACCGAGTCAACCAATCGATGACGGCAGGGTTGTCGGTGGGAGACAACAGACCGCTGGATGACACCCCGGGAGCACTGGCCTCTGGCTGCGCGACTAGTGCTGCCTCGTCGACCCCTTCCTCTGCTGCCACGTCTGATCGCTTCCTGAAACATTGCCTCCTCTGCCACTCCTCTGCGTGTTGTCTGACATACTCTTTAATTCAATAAGCACCCCAAAAATAAAAACGGATTTAACTCTTTGAACGTACAATAGTGGTTGTGAAGCAGAAAGTCAGTTTTATTATAGCACAATCGGTCAAATTGCAGCTTGCCGTTGGCTGGAAACTGTACGTTTATGTCACTGGAATGCACTAATCACCCCAAAAAATATTACCGCCACCCGGCGTGTAAATGGATCTAACTCTTTGAAAGTACAATAGTGGTTGTGAAGCAGAAAGTCAGTGTTATTGTACACAATCGGTCAATTGCAGCTTGCCGTTGGCTGGAAACTGTACGTTTTTGTGTCACTGGAATGCACTAATCACCCAAAAAAATATTACCGCCAGCCGGCGTGTAAATGGATTTAACTCTTTGAACGTACAATAGTGGTTGTGAAGCAGAAAGTCAGTTTATTTAGCACAATCGGTCAATTGCAGCTTGCCGTTGGCTGGAAACTGTAACGTTTATGTCACTGGAATGCACTAATCACCACCAAAAAATATTACCGCCAGACCCGGCGTGTAAATGGATCTAACTCTTTGAACGTACAATAGTGGTTGTGAAGCAGAAAGTCAGTTTATTGTACACAATCGGTCAATTGCAGCTTGCCGTTGGCTGGAAACTGTACGTTTGTGTCACTGGAATGCACTAATCACCCAAAAAATATTACCGCCAGCCGGCGTGTAAATGGATTTAACTCTTTGAACGTACAATAGTGGTTGTGAAGCAGAAAGTCAGTTTATTTTGCACAATCGGTCAATTGCAGCTTGCCGTTGGCTGGAAACTGTACGTTTATGTCACTGGAATGCACTAATCACCCAAAAAATATTTTACCGCCACCCGGCGTGTAAATGGATCTAACTCTTTGAAAGTACAATAGTGGTTGTGAAGCAGAAAGTCAGTTTTATTGTACACAATCGGTCAATTGCAGCTTGCCGTTGGCTGGAAACTGTAACGTTTTATGTCACTGGAATGCACTAATCACCCAAAAATAATTACCGCCACCCGGCGTGTAAATGGATCTAACTCTTTGAAAGTACAATAGTGGTTGTGAAGCAGAAAAGTCAGTTTATTGTACACAATCGGTCAATTGCAGCTTGCCGTTGGCTGGAAACTGTACGTTTGTTGTCACTGGAATGCACTAATCACCCAAAAAATATTACCGCCAGCCGGCGTGTAAATGGATTTAACTCTTTGAACGTACAATAGTGGTTGTGAAGCAGAAAGTCAGTTTATTTAGCACAATCGGTCAATTGCAGCTTGCCGTTGGCTGGAAACTGTACGTTTATGTCACTGGAATGCACTAATCACCCCAAAAAATATTACCGCCACCCGGCGTGTAAATGGATTTAACTCTTTGAACGT